CCCTGCACCCCAAAATGGGATCCCCATGTCCCTCCGCCAGCGACCACGTGCCCAAAAAGGGATCCCCGCGTCCTGAAATGGGATCCCTGCGCCCCAAAACAGGATCCCTGCACCCCTTCACCGGCGACCGTGCGCCAAAATGGGATCCCCGTGCCCCAAAACGGGATCCCCGTGCCCCTTCCCCAGCGACCACGTGCCCAAACTGGGATCCGTGTGCCCAAAACGGGATCCCTGCGCCCCAAAAACGGGATCCCTGCGCCCCAAAAACGGGATCCCTGCGCCCCAAAAACGGGATCCCTGCGCCCCAAAAACGGGATCCCTGCGCCCCTTTGCCCACGACTACATGCCCAAACTGGGATCCCCGCGCCCCAAAACTGGATCTCCATGTCCCAAAATGGGATCCCCGTGCCCCAAAACAGGATCCCCATGTCCCAAAATGGGATCCCAGCGCCCCTTCCCCGGCGACCCCATGCCCAAACTGGGATCCGTGTGCCCAAACTGGGACCCCCGTGCCCCTTCGCCAGTGATCACATGCCCAAACTGGGATCCCCGCGCCCCAAAACTGGATCCCCATGTCCCAAAACGGGATCCCTGCACCCCTTCACCGGCAACCGTGCACCAAAATGGGATCCCCGTGCCCCAAAACGGGATCTCTGTGCCCCAAAACGGGGTCCCCGCGCCCCTTCCCTGGCAACCCCATGCCCAAACTGGGATCCGTGTGCCCAAACTGGGATCCCCATGCCCCAAAACGGGATCCCCATGTCCCAACATGGGATCCCTGCACCCCTTCCCCGGCGACCACGTGCCCAAAACGGGATCCCCGTGCCCCGAAACGGGATCCCAGCGCCCCTTCCCCGGCGACCGCGTGCCCAAACTGGGATCCGTGTGCCCAAACTGGGATCCCCGCGCCCCGAAACGGGATCCCAGTACCTCGAGGATCTGGTTGAACTGGGCTTTCAGCTCGAAGTAAGGCTTGCTCTTCACGATGACGCGCTTGAGGGACTTCTGGAGGCTCTGCACCTTGGCTTCGGCTTGCTGGCACAGCCGCGTCACCCGCTGGT